GCATATACAATAAACACTGCGGCTGTAGCCGTATGGTCTCGCCTCGATTAATAGGCGCAGTGTCACCCTACCGACTGTTGATCGCCAGCCGCTGACGCTCCCCATAGCGCGAACAACTACTGCCTCAAATACGTCGACGCGTCATTCTATCAAGTCGCGCGCGGCTTGGTTTTACCGCTTACTGTCGTTCTTTCTCTCGTTTTCTTAAAAGCATCCCGTCCAACCTTACGAGTGCTCGCCGCTTGTGCGATAGTCACTGTAGGCTTCTTCGTGGGTGTCGCCTTAGATAGCTCGAACTCGAAGACTCCAGACCAGAAGAAAACCAGTCTCCTTGGAATCGCATTCGGACTGTTGTCGTCATTGACCACAGCGAGCCACGCGATTGTCATCAAGCGATCGCTCCCAGTCGTCAACGGCGATGCAATTGAGCTCGCTTGGTACTCAAACGTACTGTCCTCAATACTGTTAATACCAGTTATCTGGCTAGTCGGAGAGGGAAGCGGCGTCCTTGGGCTATTGTCTTCTCCAATCTACCTCGATGGAAATCTGAGTGTTCTCGGTCGATTCCTGTGGGGATCTCTCGTCACAGGCCTTGTTGGCTGGTTACTCTCCATCGCAGGAGTTCTCTCGATCAAAATAACATCACCCATAACCCATATGGTTTCTGGTGCTGTTCGAGGCATTCTGCAAACCATACTAGGTGTCTGGTATTTCGGAGATATCGTCACCACTGGCCGAGGGACAAGTATCTTTGTCATCCTTGCTGGATCGACGTATTACACATGGGCGAAGAACGAGGAGGTCCTCGAGCAACGAGCTCGTGAACAAGGCATGTCAAAAATTCAGGCACCATCACCCGTTGTCTTCGATGCAGAGGGAGACTCGAGAGATATTGAAGCAGGGCAGGACCCAACTGGACAGGGAAGGTGGCACCGTAGATCGAGGAGTTACGGAAACGGATATAACGAGGTCCCTCTTGAAGAGGCCCAAACACCCGACGTTAGAATAGAGATGGAGGAAGTTAAGAGCAAGCGGTCAGAATTCTAGTAGAGAGGGATCAAACTATTCTCCTCTGTGTTCGTATTGCTTCTACAGATACTCTCTATATATATCATGCCTCTCGCATCCGCATCTCGGACTCACTGTCCTGGGATTGTGCTTAATATGTGACAGTAATTCGTGCAATAGATGACGCAGTAAGCCTTGAGAGAATGAGCCAGCGGCTACGTCGGATACGGCGGATGGTTAGTCATTGCCGTTTTTCACATCTCAGACGCTGACCACGACGATGTTGACCTACTTGAGTGTCCCTACGATCCAAAGTGTTCTGGCGATTTCAGAGGATGGAGACTCGCATTTGGGGAGTGCTGTTCAGCAAGCTCTGACAGTGATTGAAGGGACGTTGGAACAGGATGGGTAAGAATGCAGCCGTAACTGTTGGGGATTAATTAATTAATTAATATATCTGTCTTTATTGTACCCGGAATCTTTTGGTATACACTCGTTTGGAAAAAGAGAGCAAGGAACAGCGATTAGCTTCAATGGTGGCAAAGATTGTGAGTCTATACTGTCGTAGCAACTGTTCCCTCTTACATAGAACTCAAATTATTCAATAAATAGGTACAGTATTACTACATCTACTAGCAGTGGCGTTGTGGCGGCGTCGTTCCAGGTCTCCCAAAGAGCAAGCGGATTGTCTACATCAACTACCATCGGAATATCCTCCCGAACAATCTACCTCCCAGTCACGATTCAACTCCCTTTACGTGACCTGCAGTTCACCGTTTCCCGAGGTTGAGGCGTTTGTCGATCACTGTGCGGAATCATACTCGCTGGGACTCTTCCGTACAAGCCCTGGGGGGCTCCCAATGAAGGATGCACTCAAACAATACAAGGAAAAGGAGCCCAAAATCAAGAGCATTCTCGTGGGCACGAGAAGAAGTGATCCTCATGGCGGTAAGAGCAAAAAATGCACAGCTGTTATTTGTAATTGTCTGATATTCTTCATTATACACAGATAAACTAGACTTTACAACACCGACAGACGACGACTGGCCCGCATATCAGCGAGTACATCCGATCCTCAATTGGTCTTATGGCCAAGTATGGGAATATCTTAGACGTTTCGAAGTTCCTTATTGTGATCTTTATAACCGTGGGTACGTCGATTTCTACACTCTGCAAACAAACCATCCTGAACCCTGATATAGGTATACATCCCTCGGTTCTACCTTCAATACCTTCCTCAATCCAGCTCTGAGAAATGAAGACGGCCAATATAAACCTGCATACGAGCTTGAAGATGGATCCAAAGAGCGCTGCGGACGATCGAGGTCATACCAAACGACGCCTGCACTATAGCATTTCATATGTAATGGGCGACAAACACGTGATGTCGTATATTTATTGGAATAGATATCAACATCCCCTTGAGTGGGCAGTGGTGGTACGAGATTTGGATCAAGAAAGACCAGTCGCGAGAGCTGTGGTGAAGGTGTCCTTACTGCGCGGGGATGTGCCAAAATGACTATATCGGTATACTATTGAACTAAATTGTCGTCATAGGAGGAGTAGATTATCGCCGAGAAGCCGATTAGTTCGCGCATGGTGCTTATATTCTAGACGAATCAGTTAGAGGCATTCCAAGGATTGAGTGAATGGTATCCTGACCTCTACCAACTCATTGGGCATGCCATAAAGGGCAGGATGACACCACCTCGCGAGCCCAGGTAGAATTGCTGCCAGTCTCTCTCTCCTTTCCTCATGGACACCTTGATCAGAGGCCAACCAGTCTGTAGGCATATCTCCGAACACCTCTTTCTCGATACCGCTCAACGCCTTTTCGCACATTTTGTCGAGGGCAAGATTCCACACCAGTTGGAAGTCGGGGCTGGCGACATACGCTTTCGTCTGGTCTAATAACTGCCGCAAGGGTGGATCTATCGTAGCAAGGTGGGGTGAAATACCCCCTTGAATGAGGACGTTTTGCTCAGCAGACTGTGAAAGTGGGAATATAGCGGCGGCGATTCTGTAGAGTTGCAATCTCCGAATGAGCGCGCGTCCATGAAGTGAAAGGACCATTACTCACTCTGTACTAGGTTGGCCATCAGGCAAGAATTCGATTTGTTTACGGATTTGTGAGAAAAGGTCTTTCAAATCGTTCATATCCAATCTTGTCTTGAGAGAGACACTGCAAGGTGATGTCAGCCCTGCATGTAGAGCTTCGGAATGGGGATGTAATTACCCTTGCAAAACTTCTTCAACGGCTGTCCTAACGCGAGATGCAATATCTCTCCAACCTATATGTAACAGCCACCAACAGAGCGTGAGATATTTCCTTTCAATATCCTCATCAACCTCGTCTTCCATTTCCCCTTCCTCAAGGAAGATATCATAGGGCTGGCTTTGCGGGCCAAAGCCTAAAGAGGTGGCGACAGAGGGTGCAACGGAGGCCATGAATGATCCGATCAAGCCCATTGAATCGAAAGAGGCAGATTCCAACGCCATTATCCTTTGTTTCTCTCTCTCTTCACGTTCTGTAGCTTTAACTGATTGGACATATTTATAGCGACCAATGAGATTAAGCTGAATGTGGATCTGGAGTGAGAGCAACGCCGTGCTATATAGGACGACCATAACTCGAGTGAAGGCTGTAATTGAGGCGAAGAATTAGTGTATTTGGGCGAGGATTCGAGATACGACTTACACATGATTTTTAGTTCGTGCCATAATTCGGCCTTCGACTTGCGTTGCAACGAAGATTGACCACTCAAGTGGTCTTCCGTATGAGATAGAACGCTTTCACGTGAGATGGGGATATCTGATTGGCGGGCATCCGCGGCTGATAGTGAATCGACGATGGAAACAGCAGCCAAATCGATTGTTGGAAGCTCCAGATCTGGTATCGTTGGAACATTTTCCAAATTCGAACCGATATGTTTCTCGTCATCTGCATCCCCTGACCTCGATGTCTGCGACGATTCGTGTTGGAACTTCACCCAGCTCGTAGCCGATTCGATCAAAGGATCGACATGGCGCGAGTCGGGAGAGGAAGAGGGCTCGGATGGTAATGGAAGCGAGGCAGAAAGTGGATCCGTGGATTCCATGGCTGATAAGAATGACGATGTGTTGCGTCCTTCAGAAACGGCGCCATCGTCAATCGAGGGAACGATTGTATCATTCACACCCGCCTCTTTTTGGTCTGTCTCCTTGAATTGCGTATTTGAGATCTTGCTGAATGACGAACTTGCTTCCGCCTCGGCAGCCGATATCAGAGACGTGGAAGTATGTGTACTCGGCGCCTCCGAGGCAGAAGTATTTGTCTGAGCCTTATCGCCAACAGATGCAGGTACAGCGGATTTCTTGGATCTATTCTGGAGCTCTAGTGAAATTCGCTCAACGTCCAGCTCCTCCAATATCCTACTGGCTAACGTGGGCATATAAGCCATGATTGTATAAGTGCAATCTTGCATATTTTGCTGAAAACGTTTTCTCAAACTGAAAGAGAAATGGGTAGGATGTGTAAGTGCTCCGTTTGACAGGTCTCCATGGCTCGTGCCTTCCACATGTAGTTGTTTCCAGTCCAAAATAGGAGTGAAATGGAATTAGAAGGCGGGACCTACTTCTCTTTGGACCCCTTTTCTACCAATACTGCCTCCTTCACCTCCTCTAGGCGCTGAATGATATATTTGCCGGTTACATATAGCAGCCCAGCGACCCCGGCTGACTTGAGGAGACCTCTCCTGCGGTCATAAAAGTATCTCCCAATGGACCCTAGCATTTGGGCTTGTTGAGGCGGGAGGTACTGAAGAAGCCGGGTCCAAGTTTTGCGGCTATCAATCACATGTGGGGACCGGAGTTGCCCACTTCGTCAAGCTCGTCGAAACGACCAGTTAAATCAATCGATATCTTAGGACTTGGAACTCAACCGAAAAACAATAAACAAAAAGGAATACCGAGGACTCTAACTACAAGTACAAAGAAAAAAGAAAAAAAAAATACTCGGCATCGGGGAATCGAACCCCGCTTTCGCGCGGCCATCTAATGACAGGCGCGTGTACTGACCGATATACTAATGCCGATTTGATTGTGAACTCCTGTGAAACAAATTTTATATACTGAGAATGACTATTTGCCTTAGAGAAATTGAAGGTTCCCCGCTCCATTAGCCATGTTTCGTCTACTCCACTTCACTAGATACCAACGAGCATCCTTGAGACGGCCAGATTTACTCTATCTGCTTGACCACACTCGTTATGTGTCTTCCACTATCGTCAGAGCACCACCTTCTTCAGCACCGAGAGAGGCTCCAGTTCCATTGGTGTTTCCAACCATAAGGGGTTGGTACGACCAAGAATCAAAAGTATGTGTTTCGTTCTATAGACCTGACTCTTTAGACTAACACGGGATATAGCATGGCATAAATACCTATGCAGCGATGCTGAGAGAACTAGGGTTTACTACTATCGAGGTCGAGCTGGAACTTGAGAAAGGATCGAAGGAGAAAAAGCTGGATGACCTTGTGAGAGATTACGCAAAGGGTTCGTCCCATTCAGTGTACCCAAACCTCTACTAACAGCCCATCATAGAGTTGCGATCCGAGATAGCTCTTGCCAGCATTTTTCCTCCCGTGCTTATTTCACGAGGTGTGAGCACGCTCGCTGTACACGCCTATGTCGAATCCTATCCGGTGTCGGGAATAGGGCTCATTGGCCCAGTGTCGTTGGTACCGCGGATACTCACGCTACCTGGTGCAAGTCAACTCGGTACAAGAGCCACCATTCCTGAATTCAACTACGAGGCAAACTTTCCGATATGCTTAATCGAGTCTGACGAGGTGTTGGGAAACCAAGAACACGTGAGTCCGTGGATGAGAACCGAGATTTCAAGAGTTAA